AGGGTATATTGGCACTGTATCAAAACGTTCATGGAACTATGTGAAGGGTATATTGGCACTGTATCAAAACGTTCATGGAACTATGTGAAGGGTATATTGGCACTGTATCAAAACGTTCATGACTAGAAGCGCAGGTACTGAGTCTACTACTGATCAATAATGCTGATATTTTAAAAATAAAAAAATCTACGAATTCCGGATATTTCAAGATACTTATCGGGTATATCTTACTTTGATAACCAGTATTCACAATTCTACTTCATATCTCAACTTCTTAACATCATTCCTTTATTTCCCCAGGATAGCACTTTGTTATGGAACATACATGAACGATTTCGTATATAATATCCATAAACGTGTAAACTCCACACACACATTACCATATACGTATAGAACTATATATATATACACATATATCAATAATACATATTATATTGTATGTACTTATAGCACCCGACTGGCTGTCTATGACTCACATAACCATGGCAACGATAGCTATTGCTCTCACTGATTTTTATCTTGATATCCGTTCCGACCACTACCGTACTGCTATCTGTGAGCCGATAGGCTCGACACTCGTCCAGCATTACGAAATAATGACATGCAAAATTTAGCTGAAAGGAGACTTTTCTGGTAAGATTCTTACAACCTATATAGATATTTATGCTACCCACCACCTTATATACCAACGCACAAACAACTCCGGTAAGATAGTTTCACTGTTCTAGACAGCTACAAACACCACTAATTGAACTACCTTTATACTGTACCACCACACATAATGTCAAATCACACAGTACAATCGGCACTGTATAAAAATAAACACAGTGAAACAAGGGGTTTTCTACACTAATTCATATTTAGTGCACAACCCCTTCACTGTATATCTGAAAGTAATATTCTGAGCTCGCAATGTTAACACCCGATGGTATGGACTTGTTTCTAATTTGTAATTAAAATCATACTTACAACAAAGACAGAAACGTACTCAGGTATTTGTGTGTGTGTATAAAAATGTGCTGTAGGTCGTAAACATTCACCTTGGTACTCTAAAGCAAGGATCACAAAGTTCTTGAAGTTTACAGGTTCTTTCAAATTCCTAACAGTTATTCTCATTGTATTAAAATCTGTCCATCTAGCCATTTCAAACGTAGGGCGTATAACGTGACGACTAATCTCACTATTCGTTGATAAAGAGCAGCCCAAGAGTTATTGATGGGCGGTGTTAAATCTCTGCCTTAACTCTTGTATATCACTTCCAAAATGAGTATGATAGTCTCCATGAAGCTTTTCAAGAAAACTATACAAACAGTTATTCCAACTCAATTGTTCCTGAGTATTACATTTACTCACATCAGTTGTCATAGTTGAGTATCTAGCAAGCAACACGCAGTCTGATCAACAAAAAGTCTGCTACTATTCAACTTGATAGGGTGAGCAATTGTCAAAAAATGTTGGACCAAAGCCTTGTCAGGGAATAACCACCCACTTGTTCGGAAATTAAGGGTCAAATAACCCTTTAACCATTCATATTTTTGAAAACCTAGCAATCGCCTCCAGTTGTACAAACTGTTGATGTTCTAGGTATGATATCTAGTAACATCAGCTGTTCTATTTATACAATAAACAAATGGCTATTACACAGTGTTCTGCAACTATTCCCCCATGAAACAATGCTAAATAGTTCGGAAATTAAGGGTCGCAACTCCCTTTCAGTAGTCAATTTATCGATCAACCAATCATCGTTAGTCAGTCAGAATCAACTCCTCCATTGCCGTTTCCTCATCTGACTCTTTTTGGAAGCGATAAGTACAGCCCCAACTCAAAATCTGAGTCAAGCCATTGCAGGCGATGATTTCCTTGAAATGTTTATGAAAACAGTCTAGGTCTTACTTGGCAGTACCTCTGTATGTAGGGGGTAGTTATTTGCTTCGTTTTTCTGACAAAAACCAGCAACTGGTGAAACAAAATGTCTTCAGCAGTGTCTCAACGAAAATGTGTCTAAAACACCCACGATGTCATAGGAACCAGTGGGTGTTGGTGCCCAGAGACACATAGTATCATACTCTTGAAGAATAGAACAACGAGTTGGTGTGACAAATATGGGAGCCTGCTTGAAATGCAGTAAGACCCCTTATGGTTTTAACAGCATGACTTCCATTTTGGAGATACTTTTGTCTACTTCACAGTTCGTCGTTTTCTTTGCTGAGCTTTCAATGTCTTATCCTTATGTCCAACTTGTAGACTTGTAGCATCTCTTCATTCCTTTCTGCTGTGGATGACATTGACCAGCAATGGTATTCAATCCCAGTGGTCATCAACAATCCACTTACCCATAAAGACTTCTCTATTCTGTTTTAAGGATTCAAGAGCGCAGGTCAGCATTATGATATTCAGTCACTCGTTTCTCCTGTACACCAATATTCAGATTCAGAGAATCAACAGGGGCAAAAGTTTGAGAAATCTGTGACTGCAGTTCTCCGTGAGCTGAGGTTGGACTAAAAGCATGGGCATGGTCTTTCCCGTTAATGACAAAAGATTGACGTCCAGGAGAGGATTTCTCTTAAGATTATGTGCATTTGTACCACTTTCCACAACTAACTTCTGCTCTCACGCACAATCCTTTTGTTTGGAAAATGTTTCAAAGATCAAATTTTTGTGGTTAAAGAGAGTAAAAGAGCACAGAAACGTACACAGAAAACTCCTTAGAAACAACTATAGAGTCGTGACACAGAAGTTTAACCTTACTACCTCACTCTGTGGTATTATCTGGTACACTGATGAATGAAAGAAAATGTATCAAAGATAAACTTGACTCCCCTATCTAAATGAATTGAAGAAACAGACTGTACACATGGCTGTGAAACAACAAATTATTTGGTATTGGACAAAAGACAAACAAACACAATTCAGCGAAACATCTACACTAGATGATCAACTGTGCTTTTCTTTAGAAACTGGAGATAAATATTTTTAAAGGGAAATCTGAAGAAAACCTGTTTAAATTCTGCATGCGTTACTAACATCACTCTTGGTC